GCTTATATTTATAACATTCAAGGGTAAGTTGGTTACCAACTTAATTTCAGTAATACAAAGACTTCTCCATCTATAACATTTCTTTCCCTGCTCTTTTGTTATTGGTACCAATAATTATATTTTCATATTTCACGTGCCCTGTAACATGAGCCAATACATTTAGAATTATAAAGCATGAATACCTTATAATTAACCCTATACTTATCCATGCATTTCCTTTTATTAAGGATCTTTCTTTTTACGCACAGCTTTAACTTACTGTCTAGTGTCTTTTTCCTTCCATCTAAAGAACTTCCATTAATATTTTTTATAGGGCCAAACTGGTGGATATGAACCTCTTAGCTTCTGTTTGTTTGGAATATTTTAATTAGACCGTCATTCCTTCTTTTGTTGTTGTTGATGAGCACTTAAGTTCTTTTTATTTATTTTCACTGTGATTTGGGTGAAAGTTTGCAGAACTAATTCATTTTCCATTCAGAAGTTCATACACATTTTGGTTCATGACACTGATTCAATCCCCATAATGTAACAGCTCTCTTCCCACTTCTTCCTGCGGTTACCTTTTCCCTGTGTTCTTTCCTACGCATTCTGTATTCTGGCCCTCTGAGCTTTCCCTGTGCAAATACTGCCCTTCTGATCTCCCATGATGGACTGTTCTGATGAGTGTATCTACCTGTGTAAATGTTCACTTCTATGCCTGTCTTGTTTGGCTGGAAGCCATGGAAGTGAGTTAATTCCAGGCCTGAAGGATAACTAGGGCCCATAGACTTGGGTTTCACCAGTCTCTATCAGACTAGTACACCTGATCTTTTTTATGATTTTGAGTTTTGTTCCACATTTTTCTCCCATTCTATCCAAGATTTCCTGCACTGATCCCTTACTGAGTGGTTGACAGTGGTATATGGGCACCATCTAGTTCTGGTTTCATGGTCATACAGGCTGAGGTCACATGGTCCACGAGTGCCTTGGACTAATTGTTTCCCTGAATCTTTGGCTTCCTTCATTCTGCTTTGCTCCAGACAAGGAGAGGCCAGTTGTTGCATCTAGACGGCTGCTTGTAAACTTCTAAGACCCCAGTCACTACTCACCAAAGTAAGGTATCAAACAATGTTTTTGTATAGTATGTTTTGACGGTTGAGCTTGATGTTCCCTGAGACCACCGTCCCTAGCTGATAGGTATGTTGTGACAGTTGAGCTTGATATTCCCCGAGACCACCGTCCCGAGCTGATAGGTATGTTGTGACAGTTGAACTTGATGTTCCCCGAGACCACAGTCCCGAGCTGATAGGTCCAACAACTCACTCCCTCAGTACAGTTTTGTTCTTTTTTTATAAAATTTTTATTGTGATTTGGGTGAAAGTTTACAGAGCAAATTCATTTTCCATACAGCAGTGCATACACATTTTACCTCATGGCACCGACTAAAGTTCCCTACAATGTAATAGCTCTCTTCCCACTTCTTCCCCATAGTTACCTGTGTCCTTCCCTCCCATGCACTCCGCCCCCCCAAGCTGTTTTCCTGTACAAACACTGTCCTTGTGGTCTCCAATGATTGCTCACTCCAAGTACTATATCTACCCGATATAGCTGTTCACCCCATGTGCCTGTGTGTTGTTTGGCTGGAAGCCATAGGAGTGAGTTCAGTTCCAGACCTGAAGGGTAGCTAGGGGCCATAGTCTCAGAGCCTGGTGAGACCCCTATCAGACCAGCAAACTTGGTCTTTTTTTCAATGATTTTGAGTTTTGTTCCACATTGTTCTCTTACTCTTTCCAGGATCTCCTGCATCAGTTCCCCTCCAAGTGCTTGACACTGGTAGCTGGGCACCATCTAGTTCTATTGGTCTTACGGTCTTATAGGCTGAGGATCACATGGTCTACCAGTCCCTTGGACTGATCGTTTCCATGAATCTTTGGTTTTCTTCATTCTTCTTAGCCCTGGATGAGGAGAGACCCATTGTGGCATCTAGATGGCCACCTGCAAGCTTTAAGATCCCAGTTGCTACTCACCACAGTAGGACGTGGAGCAGTGTTCTTGTGCATTGTGTTATGCCAGTTGAGCTTGATGTCCCCGTGACCATGATCCTGAGCAGACAGGTCCAATAGCTCTCTCCCTCAGTACAGCCTTACTCCTGAAAGATAGTTTCACTGGGTAGAGTATTCTTGGTTGATGGTATTTTCTTTCCTTTCAGCATTTTATATATATTATTCCATTGTCTTCTGGCCTCTAATATTCTGAGGTGACGTCAGCATTTAATTTTATTGAAGATCCTTTTTATGTGACTGCTTCTCATTGCTTTTAGGATTTTCTCTTTATTTTTTGATAGCCTAACTATGATGTAGGAGCTCAGGTAGTGTAGTGCCTAAGGCACTTGACTGCTAACCAGAAGGCTGGTGTTCAAACCCACCAGCCACTCCTTGGAAGGAAGGTTGGGCAATCTACTTCCGTAGTGATACCGCCTTGGAAACCCAAGGAGGGGTCGCTATGAGTCAGGTCTGACTCGACAGCACATAACAACAACAACAACTATGATGTGCCTTGGTGTGATCTCGTTGGGTTTATCCTGCTTGGGGTTCTTTGAGCTTCTTGGATTTGTAGATTCATGTCCTTCATTAGCTTGGAGAAGTTTTCCATTACTGTTTCTTCAGATACTGTTTTTGTCTCTTTCTCTCTCATATCTTTCAGAATTTTCCAGGATGTATATATGAGGCCTCTTGTTGTCCTATATTCCATTAAACTGTGCTCAGCCTTCTTGAGCCTCCAATCTTGTTGCTATTCAGTGTCTGTAAGTTTAACTATCTTATCCTCTGATTTGCTGCCCTTTCATTCCCTTTGTCGTTTTCTTTTGGATGGGCCATTGTTTCGCTGTTGTGTGTTTTGTGATTTTTTTGTTGACACATTGTAATTTTCAAGGGTGTTAACTTTCTCAGCTTTCTCCAGCATTTGGTGTTTTTTCTCAAAGTACTTTGGTTTTTTTTTAAAAAACCCACCTCTTTAGGTGGGCAGAGACTTCAGCATTTGCTTGCAGTTTCCTCTCTTCCTCCTCCCTCTCTGGTTTAATTAGGATTTGAAAATTTCAGGTCTCGGTTTTCAACTTTCAGTCTCCCAAACACACCAGAGGATACACTGTGGTCAGTCTGTCTACCAGAGGGTGCATCCCCCCTCACTCACTGCCGTTGAGTTGGTCCTGACTCATGGCGACCCCTCCTTGGCTTTCCAAGGCTGTATCTCTTCCCTTCTCTGTTTCTGCAACCACAGTTTTAGTCAGAAACTCTGTCCCCGGGGAGCCCCCTTCAGGGCTGGGTGCTGGCCTCCAGTTTTGCCCAGGCTTGACATCCCTGCTCTGTGGGGGCTGTTTGTATCTGAGCTGGCACTCAGGGGAAGCTCAGGCCGACTCTGTTCCAGCAGGGGCTGGCACCCCCAGAAGAACCTGTGGAAGTTGTTCTGTTGGTTTCAGAGCCAGTGGCCCTGTGGGGCTGGGGGAGCTGTGTCTCCTTAGGTGACTCAGTTGTAGGGGACCTTCTGTAGGACTCTGTATTAGTACTGCATCTGGCAGCTGCTGGTTGGTGGAGGGGTTACCACACTCTAATCTGACCCCCAGGGAGGTCTGCCTTGTTGCTGTCGCCCCTGGCCCCACAGCACGTTGGCTGTGAGTGTGGTCCCCACTCGATGCTCCTGCTGCCCAGTGCACAGCAGCCCAGTCAGCGGTGCTCAGCACCCACCAGAAGGGGGGCAGGTGGGGTGCTGACTGTGACAGTGGCCAGGCCTTCTGTCCTTCTGTCCAGCTTGCAGGAGACTTAGAGCTGACTGTCCAGACGTGAGAAGTGCTGGCAGACTTCACGCCAACCCCCAGGGATCTGCCTGGTTGATCTTGAGAGCAGAAGCTTGGGGTCCTAGGTCTTTGTACAGGCAGGGGCTCCTTTTCTGGGCCGCTTACCCCGTTCCCGTCCCCAGTGCCCACGGGGGTGGGGGTGGGGCGGGGCCGTGGGAGAAGGCATTTCCCGCCCTGGGCGTGCACTGTTGGTCCTTGCTATCTGCAGAGCCCCGCTGCTTTCCTCTGCTTCCTGATTCAGGGTCCCTCAGAGCTGAGCACCATTTCCTTTCTGTGGGCTAGGTTCAAGAATGGTCTGTTCACATCAGTCTTCCCAGAATTCCGCTGAAGTCCATGTATTCTTTCATAGCTTCCTTCGTTTCCTGTGTGGGCAAGACCACAGTCCTGTCCTGCCGATGCAGGTCTTTGAGCGTTGTCAGTGTGGGTGAGGAGGGGTGGCCTGCTTGGGGCCACTGGCTAGATTTCATGGAGGCTTGGCTCTGCCCGCCTCCCTCCCTGATGTCAGGAGAGTTCTGCAGTCAGCTCCTCCTGTGGCGAGGCGGCCCTGGGAGGATGCTCCTGCATGTCCACCACAGGAGGCTTCCAGCCCTAAGACAAGGCCTTTCCAGTTCCTCACTTACAAGTGGACTCTGATGAGTGTGTGACCAAACATGGAAAACTTAGGAAGCTAAAAGATGGTAAAGGCCCTGGCTGTGGGGCTCCTCCAGTTCCGACGGGGCACTGAAATACTCTATAAGCCGCGACAGCAGACGTAGGGCATCTTCCTTTCCCGAGCAGCAGCGCACGCTGAGGAGAGAACACTCCTTAAGAGGTTGTGACTCATACATGCTTGCGTTTTCATTAAGTGACCGGTATGACTGTTGACACTGACAACAGAATTTATGTTGGATTGTAAACATGCATTTCAGAACAGAGTTGGAAAACACCAACAAAGAGAAGAGAGGAAGTCGACTTCTACCCCATGAGAAGGAACAGCTCAGCCTCATGCTTAGCATGTCGCCACCTTGCCTGATGTCCCTGTGGCCCATTTTAGCAGCATTTCTTACAAGGCCTTGGTGCACATTCCTCTTTTGAATTTGAGAAAAAAGTTACTCTTCTTCTAGTTTACAGAGGAGTAGTGCATTTGCCCATCCCTGAGGAAATGGCTTTAATTTTGATGTCTGACCCACAGAAAAATATGAAGACCTAAGCTCCTCTGACGAGACCTACCCGGTTCACCAGAGGCAGAGGCCATGCCGGAAGAAAGGCCTCAGCATCCATGAGGGGCCCCGTGCCTTGGCCAGGATCACTGCCATCGGCCTTGGGGGCAGGACCCCACGGCCTTGCCACGGTAAGCATTCCTGTTCCCTGGTGGTTTTGACATCTCACAGCCAATTGAAGCAATGGGTGCACATTTGTCCCCACTGGCTTGGGATCTGGTTCATCTCCTTGACCGTCCCTGCCACCGGTTCAAGTCAGTCGCTCAGCTCAGGTTTCACTCGTTCAGGTGCATCAGCTGGCTCAGGGACACATGTCCCTTGAAGTTCATGTCAGCAGGGCATGGGCCGGGCAAAGAGCTAGATGTGCAGCCCGTCCTGCTTAGGCTGACGGAGGTGGTGCCCAAGCTCTGACAACTGTCGGGGGTGCTCAGTGCTAGAACCCTAGGCGTGCAGTTTCCAGATCTTGAGTTTATTCTCAAGTGTTGAGTGCTTTGTTGTTGGGGTGAGCCGGGGGGCTAGTGAGGGAGGCATGGTACCGTCTCCTGCTTGAGCTTGAGTGGTCGGCTGTTACCATCTGGGCTAGGCTAATGCTGGGGGAAGACTTTCCCCAACAGTGGTGGCCATGTTTCAGTCGAGAATCTGTGAGTAACACGATTCCCTCGTACTGCCTCAGGAGTGGCCCTGAAGGGCTCAGACTCACTTGTGCTGGGTTGAGAATTCCTGACTGGCCTTGTCCTTGTGTCCCTTGGGGGGCTGGGCAGAAGGGGGTACTGAAGAGTCTCTTGCCTCAACTGCGGGCAGGCCCCCCTGCAGTGCTGTCTAGTGCCTTGGCGGGCGTGCTTTTGAGCACACAGCCCTGGGGTTGAGTTTTTGTCTCTTTGGGTGGGAGTCTGTCCCCACCTGCAGGGTGTGTAGGGTAGGGAAGACGGGTCTTAGCCCCAGGCTGTGTGTGTAATGTATTAGCAGAGCCACACAACCAGGTGCTACTTAAAGACAGAATCACGTCTGGCAGTGATTTTTATGAGTAAAATAGTCTTTGCTGACAATTACAGAAGTTACACTCTCCAGTTCTGCGCTCTGCAGAACTGCGGGCAGGAAGTCTGTGTGGCTGTTAAGTGCTAGCCCCGGACTGTTTCCTTTATCTTCCTGTTTCGGTCAGGTCTTCCTGGCTGGAGGTTGATGGCTGCCGACGCCTGTTTAGGAGTCTCAGGGAAGATGCAGCGGGTCGTGTGCAGCATGTGTGCACGTGCGCGCTTGGCTCTGGCTGTCGCTCGGGAATCTGTGAGCGCGGCGTGCCGTTTCCTACGTTGTAGCTAAAGAGCGAGCCAGTGTGGCCAGCAGGGCGGCCGCAGGCTTCCGGTGCTTCAGGCCTGGGTCCACTCTACCCTTGCTGGTCAGTGAGCCCCTCCAAGCCCGTTTTCTGGTGGGAAAATTCCAAGGAGCAGGCCTGTCCCGGTCCTGAGACGGTCATGGACAGAAGGGAGGACTTTGCCTTCTCCTGTGCGGGTCCTGGATTTTCCCCGACGGCGAGAGCCCCGTCGCGGCTGGTGCATCCAGTGTGATGGCTGCGTCTTCTCTTTTGTGTTCACGTGGGTTTACATGCTCCATTCTCTACACAGAGCAGGTGCCTCCACGAGGCTATGTCACCTTCAACAGCAGTGATGAGAACCCCCTGGAAGGGGAGGCCCTCTGCTACCGGGACGTCACCTCCCCCATCAACGACCGGGATGTGGAGAGCAGCAGCAGCAGCAGCAGGGGTATGCACACCCCGAGCCCCCAGACTCACTGTGCGCTGCAGCCAGGCCTCCAGGTTTAGGGATGTCTGTGTGCCCCCATCCAGGAAAGAGTTGGCCCAAGTCCACCCAATAAATAATGACACTGTGATCGATACGGAGGGCCCTAGGTCCTGTGAGGAAAACCAAAGACTGACGTGGGGACAGGTGAGAAGACACATCCCATGCAGTGTCTCTCCATGGGTTTGGGGATGTCATCCTTCCTGCCAGGGTCAGCCCTAGGTTTGGAAGCCCTCAGAGGCTTCCAGAACAGCCCTCCAGAGGGACATGTCCTATGATGAGTACATGTCTGCACTCATCTGACAGCTGCTTACCAAGCGCCCACTGTACGCCCAGCACTGTCCTCAGTGCTTGCACAAAGCCTTGCCCAAGTGTGTGCAGTGGGGGCTGGGATAGGCCGGGCCCTGCCCGAGAGTGCAGTGGGGGCTGGGATAGGCCGGGCCCTGCCCGAGAGTGCAGTGGGGGCTGGG